AACTAGCTTAGTGGACTCCTCATATTTTTTAAGTAGTGTAGTCCTTTAACTAATAATGTATAATGACGAGTTAGTCGTTTTGTGAAAGTCTGTAAATTATTTAGGTATTTCTCAATATCTTAATAAAGACATGCCATTGCAGTATAATTGTGGGTTAAAAAAAAAAATAATAATAACTGCAATAATTACTACTTGCTAAATATATTTTTTATAATATATTTTTCAATATTTTCTTATGAGGCCTTCAAAAAACTCTAAATGTTCTCGCTGAATATATTTCTCTATATATCAGTAAAAATCTTTAAGATTTGCATATATTTTTTCAAAAAAGACTTCTTTTATGATGCTCTTAACCATATGTTATTATAAAATCCAAAATGTTACTGAAGTTCTTCAAAAATTAAAAAATTAAACCTTATCTTAATTAAATCCTGTTGGTGATTAAATATTGATTCATATGAATTTTGTTTTCTAGGCAAGTAACCTTATCCTCGACAGCTTTTTAATATTCTAATAACTGATCAATTTTCTTATAAAGACTTTTGTGAGACTCTAAAAGCCTCTTGATTACTATATTAAAAATCAAATATACAAATTAGTATTTATTTAAATAGTTACATTTTCTTTAATATACCTAAAGATTCTTCAGACAATCTCTTAGTAAGCAAAGATTTTAGAATATAATTAGGGATCTTAATACTTTTGAGACAACTTTGTTTCTATTTTGACTTGAGGTGTTAGTCTTTAACCCGGGATATCAGGAGTACTCTTGAGCTTTTTAAAGAATTTAAAAGTATCCTTTTCACCAGAGCTTAAACTTGAAATTATTTGTTGAAACATGTTACACATTTCTTTTCTTTTATTTAATATTAATAAAAAAGAAAGGACTTTAGAAACCTTATATAATACAAATCTCAAGAAGTTATATCATATTATAAGTGCATACTACTTTTCATCACTTTTCATAATTTGAAAAATTTTTCAAAAATTTTCTGATGATATATAGTTAAATTAGTCTAGTAAATTTAGAAGTTTAATTTGAAACCTAATATTAATTAACTGGAATTCATTGTTTATAACTTGTATTAATTATTTAGTTCCTAATTAAGTCTATATACCTTTTGAATATAAGTTAATTTAGTTAGGCAAGTCATAATAGGTTATTATTAATTCATATATATATAGAAATATATAGGATATATAAGATGTTTAATATAGATAATAGTAACCATACATTAATAAAAGTTTTATATCTAACATCAGTTATGATTTAAAAAAAAAAAAAAACTAAAAATTTCAATCTTAAGATAATACTTAAAGAAATAATTAAAAAAGTAATTTACAATAATCAAAACTCTTATAAAATCTTTTTTTAAAATAATAAAATATATTATATTAATATTGAAATCTAAAAAAAAAACTATTAATAAATAAAATATTAAAGAAAAAACATATTAAGACTGTTTAATAAAAATATTTTATTACAATTTTGGATTAAAAAAAATTAATTTTTTACTCTAATGAATTATTTATTAACTATAAAATAAAATAAAAATGAAAATAATATGAAATCAAATAAAAAAAAATAGGATGAGAAAATAAGTTTTAAATAAAATTAAACAATTAATTCTTATTTATAAGAACTAAACTAGTGACAATTATAACCATACTTCTAATAATTTCTATTGATAGCATTGTTAAGATTTATATAGATAGTCAGGCCTATATCTTTAAATAGAAAATAATAGAAAAGAAGAATTCAAAAAGAACATATACTGCAAATAATAATTAAAAAATTTTTTTGATTTCTTTAAATATAAATAATTAAACCAATAAAAAAAAAATATACATAAATTTGAAATTTATTAAAGTTAAGGTACACTTTAATAACTCTTATAATAAAAAAGCAAATATCTTAGCTAATGAAGCCTTAAAACTTCTATTAATAAAATGAAAAAAATTTTATTTTATATAGAATCTTCACAAATATAAAGTAGTAAGATATAATCTTAATAATCCAATTAGATAATTTGTTAAAAATGTAAATAATATAATAATAGCTTAGCAATGAATATAACAAAACAAAATGAAGAAAAATGAAGTTACCAAGTTTTAAAGCAACAAGTTTACATGAGAATCTAGTATAAAAGAAAATAACATATGAAATATATTTTTCAAAAAATCTTAACAAAGAGATTTATTTAAAGTACCTAACTTAGACTTTGTTTTGTTTAATCAAATTAACTTTATAGATTCCATGCATTTTTTGAGTAGTATATTTTTTCAACTAATAATATATAATAATGAGTTAATTATTATATAAAAGTCACAATCTCGTTTAGAATTATATTTATTAAAGAAAAAAAAATATCTAAAATTATATTTTGTAACCATTTTATTTGTAAATAATAATATTAATAGTTTATTAGATTTGTAATAAAAATTTAAAATTTATAAAAATATAAAATAAAATATTGTAAAATCAACTGAGTAAATGCGTGATAAAAGTATGGTTTAATGATAAGTCAGCGTAATTTTATTGTCATTATACTTTCGATGATGCAAATCCTTCTAAAGAAAACTATGCTCATGTCGAATGAGTTGAATTTTATTTTTTTGATTTGATTTTTTTCACATAAAATTCGAGTTCTTTTCCTTCAAGGATGTAGCCATCAGCGCGACCACATTGTCCGGGGCGAGAAGACAATATAGCTGGGTAAATCAGAAAAATTAAAAACCAGAACTTTCAAATTCAAATATTTACATAATTAAAATAAAAAATTACTCTTACCAAACAAACGACCAGTAGTAAACTGGTCATCCAATAAAGGGTCAACATTAGCTGCCTCTTTACGTGCTTCAATTTTTCTTTGAAGATGGTTTGATCGTTTTTTATTTAATTCTTCTGACTCAACCTATTGTTAAATAATAGGTTGATATCGTGAAACCAAAATTAAAATGCCCGATCTAATCGTACTCAAACTAAAAAAAGAGCACATACCGTGCCTTCTTTTTTTGCCTTCTTGCGACCTAGAGGTTGAACATAATGCGCTTCAAACCATTGTCTAAAGGGAGTGGCATCGATTTGAATAACCGCTCCTTTCACCAGTGTATTCGTCCGAACCAGCTCGTTATTAGAGGCGTTATAAACAACTGCAATGATTCTTGCTTTCCTGGTAATAGCCTCTGATCCCCAAGAAAAATTACCCTGGTCAAGACGGATGGCGCGGAACTTTAAGTTCCCGCCACGAACGCGGACTTCATGAATACGCTTAGGTCCAAGTTTAGTGTTACCGGATTGTCTACCTAATTCGAACTTTCTTTTTTTACGATATTGAGCTCGCTTGGCACCTGTATGCGAACGTTTGTGACGGGAATCTCGACTAATACCTATTAAAATTTTTTATAATCCACTAAATTTAGCCTGACAAAATTTATAACCATTTCATCTCGAGTATAAGTTAATCATTCTCGAGTAGAATTATTGTAAAACAAGTTTCTATCTATACTTTGAAAGATTATCGAAGAAATTGTTTCCATATATATATATATACAAAATAAACCATTCCACATTGAATGATTTAATGGATTAAATGAGATAATTTAATATAAATTTTTTAAAAATTTACTAACCCATGTTATCTCACAATCGCAAGAGGAAGTTAACTTGATAAAAAAAAGTGATCTTAAAATTTTTTAAAGGCACCATCATTATTTCCGGAATCTAAATTTAAACCAATCGTATTTTTTAATGCCACATGGCTGATTTTTATATATTAAAAAAAAAGATTTTTTTTTGAAATGTACAGTATATTATTATTTATTTTTATCTTTGGTCTATTTAATTATGTATTTAGTTTACTAATTATATTTTTATAATAAATTCAATTTTGTCAATTTTTATACTTTTAATTGTATAATTAAAAATTATAAAATTTATATATATATTATATTTTGATATTTATTTTTAATTTTTTTAATTTTTAATTTTTTTTTGAAAACTGATATAGTCTACTTTTATTAAATTAAAAAATATATTGTAATTTAATCAAAATATTCAAAAGTAATATTTAATAAAAACTAATTTAAAAAGAATTTTATTAATAGCTTATTGTTAGTTACTATAAAATTTTATATTTCAATTATTAAAAGACAAAAATTAAATTAAAATATAAATAAAAATAAAAGAAAAATAAAAATATTTTTTATAATATTTAAAAAAAAGAAAATTATAATATTAAATTTATAAAATATTTTTTTATTATTAATATCAGTAATCTATTAATTTAAAAAAATCTTTTATTTTTAAAATATTATTTTCATTTTTTAATATTCTAATTATTTTATTTTATTTTATTTTTTCTCTTTGTCAAGTTAAGTATATATATTTTATTAAACATATATATACTTTATATTGAAGAATATACTACTAAAGTTAAATCTCTATCTAACTTACTTATTTTTATTTTAAAAAATTAGTAAAACTTTAAATGCAACTTCAGATGTAATTTATTACTTCATTAGTAGTTTAAGTAAAGATCTTTTTAACTGTTAACTTCATTATCTATAGATTACTATTATAAAATTTTTTAATATTTTAATTATACAGTATCTACTAAAGTTTATAAATTTTTATACAATATTAGAAAGAAATCCTATTATAGATATTTAAACTATTTTATATTGTTATTAATAAAATTAAAATTTTATTAATTTACTTAAACTTTTAATTATAAAAGTTAGTTATTTATAGTATAATAAGTTTTATAAAGTTAGTTATTTATAGTATAATAAGTTTTATAAAGTTATTAAGAAATTTATTTACTTTATAATAGGTCTTATATACTAAAAAAAACTCTTTTTGCTAATTCCTTGTCCATATACAAAAAAGATATTTACAAAAAAGTTTTATACTTTTCTACTAATAAAGTCTTATTACTTTTTTTAAATCAACTTGAAGGATAACTTCAGATGTCCCTCCCAACTTCTCTTTCTTATTTATATTTCTTTTCAAACAAAAACATGACTTCCAGTAACCAAGAAAAGTCAGGAAACACCTTTTTTACCTATGGCAAGAAAGTTTTAAAAGGAAGAAAATCAATAGTGAAGTATTGAAAGCCTATCTTCTGAAGCAAGGATGTAACTAGAGGTTTTGTATAGTAGATAGATGGGCGAACAAAAGTCTAAACTATAAAACTTTTCTCCCCACTATTTTCACACTCTTAGAGTCACTCATTTTTCAGAGTTTTTGAAGAATTTTACCTATCCCAACTTGACCCTGAATTTTGGAGTAATATAAAATTAATATAATTTTTGTTAAAGGTGATTGATCGATATGAAACATGTTGGTAACAGAATGGAAATAAGCTCTTACTGGTTATATCATGTGTTTTGTGGACGCTATTTGTGATATAAAGAGAAATCAAGAATATAAACTCCTTCAAATAAAGTTTAACTGAAGCAAAGAAATCATAAGGCCATTAGAATGGGTATAAATTTCTTAGATGATGAAAAGGTGATTATTTGTTCAAACTGAGATCTTCAATTTCTTATTATTCCTATCAGGCAAAGTACGCGAAGGAGGTTATTTCCTTATCCTGGTCAGGCTATAAGACCGAAAAGCAGAAGAATGTAAAATATTACCTTTTCTAATATTGAAAATACATTTCTCTAGATATTATATAATAATATCACAATTAAGATGAACACCAGTAAAATTTCTTTAACTAAGCGTGACTGCTAGATAGGAATCATAACAGATTAGATCAAATCAGATTTTAGATTAATCTAATCCAAATCTGATCAGATCAGTTTTTATTTAATCCGATTTGTATCTGAATGGATTTATTTTTATATAATCCGTATTTGTTCGGTTAATCTAATATTTTTTTAATTGTGTATTTTATTATTATTATTATTATTATTATTTGTTTTTCCTTACCTAATGTTTACTTGCCATCATTAAGTTTTATATATAAACATTTAGTTAATAATTTACATTTTTAATATGTATAATTTATTGCTATTCATGATTATTTTCTTCTAAATTAAAATATACACCTGTATAATTTAAATTTTCTGTAGTACTGCTACTGCCTTGGTTTTTT